ACTTTCTATTTAAAGGTGCTGTGGAGATACAGAGGAGAAAAGCCAGAAACTTTGGGTGCCAACACTCAAATATATGATTGGATTCCTCAGAATGACCTCCTGGGTAAGTAAAGTTGGTACCAATCACAGTTATTTCTTTCTACGTCTTTACAAAAATACTCAAATCAGCTCAAATTAGTTGTTCAGGTTTATTGAAACCTTTTTGCTGTCCAAGTTTGAAAAACTTACTCCAGATCTTTCCTGGTTATTTGACATGTCTTAGGTCACCCTAAAACTAGAGCTTTCATCACCCACGGAGGTACAAATGGGATTTATGAAGCCATCTACCACGGCGTTCCCATGGTGGGCATCCCCGTGTTTGGTGACCAGCCAGACAACATGGTCCATATGAAGGCTAAAGGAGCTGCAGTTATTCTCAACGTGAATTTCATGACGTCTGAAGATCTTAGAGACGCAATCAACACAGTCATCAATGACAAATCGTGAGTTCTTTGAACTATCTGTACTTTGGATTAAGTACCGAAAGCATAGATTTTGTACCAAAGACGAATGTGGGCTCAAGAGTATGAAAAGCATGAAGGCCAAGAATAACATACCTTAAATTTGAATTATTTGGAATTTCCAGCGAGGGGAGAATCCACTGGCTGGAAATTACATACACTGAGCACCATCTAGTCTTAGTTTGGCCAATTTTTAAAATTATTATTTTTTTATTTTTAAATGTATTTAAATGTCCATGTATTAATTTGTCAAGGCAAAAAATGTATAAATGTTTTTGTACTTTGTTTTAATTTGCTGTTAAGCCTCTTTTACTCTGATGGCATAGTAGAAACTTGAACTTCCAAGACAAGTATCTGTTCAAACAATTTAATTTTGATGAAGTGATTTCCAATTGTTATTTATTAGGTTGTAGAACATTAATGTTTAAATGGATCCAGTTTTACATCTCTAATGTGAAGTCGTGTGGTCTCAGTTGTCTCAAAGCTTGTTTTATATCCATCTTTTTTATACAGTTCATGATTGAATGTTTTTTGGGGGCATGACTTATAGTAAAGTCCAAATGATGAACATGGCATAATAGCAGGTCATGAAGGAACAAGGGTCTAATGAGCTTGATAGCTGAAGTACCACAAAAGCTTCAAAGGCCACAAAATGATTGAAATATCTCTAGATGTCAATTTTAACTTGAGGCGTTATCAGTTTTAGAGTTTTGAAATACATCCCTTTATTGTGTGGCAAAAAAAACAAAACAAAGTATAACAATTCAAAGGTTGTTTCTTTTAAAAACCTATATGCACATTCACAGGTACAAAGAAAATGTTATGCGGCTGTCCAGCATCCACCACGACAGACCCATGAATGCTCTGGAAGAGGCAGTATTCTGGATCGAGTTCACACTGAGAAACAAAGGGGCCAAGCACCTGAGGGTCCAGGCCCATGAACTCACCTGGTACCAGTATCTCAGCCTTGATGTCCTGGGCTTCTTCTTCACCATAGTTCTACTCATCATATTCATCTTCATCAAGACCTGCAGTTTCTGTTTGCACAGGTGTTGTATCAGGAAAGGAAAGACAAAACGGAAAGCTGAATAACAACTAAACTGAAACGGTGCTGTGAATGTTGGACTGGGGCAATGTTTGTTACCAGCATGAAACTTTCTTTCATATATGTTGAATTTCCCTTCATCGTCTCCTTTATGCACCACCACTAATGACTTTAACAGATGCACTAATTTGCGTAACAGAACCTGAAGTTGATCTGATATTAAAAAGCAAATACTGATTGGCTGCTTTTTGTTTTGGGGTTTTTTTTAGGGTTTTTTTTGTTTTGTTTTGTTTGTTTGTTTGGAAAAAACACTAACATCAGATTGAATTCAGTATATTCAAACTTGCTTTTGTTTTTTAATGCATACAGAAATATTTTCCTAAAAAACATTTCATTATTTATGCATATATTTTATTTACTCTTTTCCTTCTTTTCCCTTTTTTTAATTTTTATTTTTTTATTAATCAATTCAATCTAGGAACTGTGACAATCAACATCTTCATCAATAAATCTGATATCTGCATCATGATTCTGTGGAATTTAAAGTCAGATTTCACTGTATGATAATGATTTATCTT